GTGAATGACCATCTTCTCCCTGTGTCTCTTCACAGCTTCCCTCTGGGTGTGTCTCTGTCTCCAAATTTCTCTGTTTTGTAAGGACTCCAGTCATACTGGATTAGGGCCCACTGTAATGACCCCATTTTAACTTGACTGCCTCTATAAAGACCTTATCTTCAAATAAGATGATATTGGGAAGTACTGGGAGTTAGGACTTCAACATACCTTTTGTGAGGGACACAATTCAACCCATGACAGTCCTCCCTCATCTCAGGTGCTCATTCTCTAGAGTGTGGCTTAGTTGCTCCTGTGTTGCTAATGGAGGATGCTAGATCTTCTAGGAAGATGTTTAATCCTGGTGATACCCTACCCCTTTAAGAGATGCAATGATTACCAAGTCATGTGTGCATCAACAAAATTCATCCCATTTTACTCCAAAATAGAGATGTAAAGCACCTCCTATAGACAAACCAATTTTGAAAAAGGAGAACAAAATTGAAAGATTTAATTTGACTTTAAGACTTATTTTAAACTAGAGTAATCAAGACAGTGTGTATTGACATAATAGACAGGAAGAGCAATGGAATAGAAGAGAGGTCAGAAACAGACCCTCATGTATCATCATTTGATTTTTGACAAAAATGTCTGTGTTTCAACAGGGAAAATTTCACTAAAAAAATTGGTTTGAGATGAAACATACAACTAAAACAAAAGCTCTAAAAAAATTTTTTTAACCTATGTTTTAAGGTTTTAAAACAGGTGAATATCTTCATGACCTTGAAGCTGACCATGTTTCTTAGCCAGGACACATGCACTAAAACATAAAAGGCGTAAGGATAAGCACATTATCCTTATGACAGACCCAGCAATGGCCTCTGGTGGTGGGAGGAGTGAGCCCTACAGGCCCAGGAACTGGGCAGCAGGGAAGCTGAGCAGGGGCTTCCCTGTATATGATTCCTTAGCTCCAGGCCTAACAATCATTTGGGGATCAACACCAGAGTAGACAAATCCTAAATCTAAATTTTGCAACCAGTCCCCACATTATCTAACTTGTTTCCAGCTTTCTACACCCCTTCTTTGACTCTCAAGGCCTTTACAGAGTTAGCACCAGGGCTGGGCAGCAGAGTATTTCACACATTCTGTGTGACACGAAGAGGGAGTCACAGGGAGGCCTGTGCCAGCTCCATAGAAGGAATACTTTTGAACTGTTAGAAATAACCAGTACAGAAACACAAGTCTTCTGGAAGGAGTGAGCTTCTCATCACCAGAGATATACAAGCATAATTCTGTAAAGGCAAAAGCTCAAGAAATAGTGGCTCTGTTATTATTATTAATTTAGGGGATTCAGGCTTTAGAGCAGTCAGAGGTGAAGGAATTAAACAAAGGCAAGATGATGGGCTCCAACAAAGTTCTTTTTTTTTTCTTTTATCTTTGCCAATATTTATTATGTCTTTTTTTTTTTTATTAAGGTATGATTGATACACACTTATGAAGGTTTCACATGAAAAAACAATGTGGTTACTACCTTTACCCATATTATCAGGTCCCCACCCTTACCCCAATGCAGTCACTGTCCATCAGTGCAGCAAGTTGCCAGAGATCCACTATGTCCCTTCTCTGTGATACACTGTTCTCCGCGTGATCCCCCACACCATGTGTACTAAACATAATACTCCTCAGTCCCCTTCTCCCTCCCTCCCCACCCACCCTCCCACACCCCTCCCCTTTGGTAACCACTAGTTCATTCTTGGAGTCTCTGAGTCTGCTGCCATTTTGTTCCTTCAGTTTTGCCTCATTGTTATACTCCACAAATGAGGGAAATCATTTCCAATAACGTTCTTTTTAAACTGAAATTAAAGTGGGGAATTCTTTGAGGCCTTCTTGGTCAGGAAGGGGCAAGGGGGTTCCTCGTCAGCAGGGCATCAGATTTACCCTTCCTAAAAATTTGCCTGCACGAGATAGCCAACATTAGCCACTATAAAAGCCTAAAAGCACTTAAAAAGTACTTAAATACTCAAGCTCATCTAGTTCAGTGGTTCTCAAACTTATCTGAAAAACTTGGTAAAACTAAACTGCTTGGGTGATTTTTAGTACTTGCATTTAAGCAAAATTCCTCTGGAGATTCTGATGCAGGGACAGGGCAGACTTTAGTGACAGTTAAGCTCCAAACTCTGGAGACCCACAAACTGGATTTAATGTCTGTACTTCTACATACTTATTAGCTCTCTGGACATTTTTATCATTTGTAAAATAGTGCTTTTAATACCAAAGGTTGCTGTAAGGAATTCCTGAGTTTAACATACTCAATGTAATAAAAGAAGAGTATATGTAGTAATAGTAAACAATGAAACTAATATAACATTGGTATATAATTCAACATATTTAATAAATTATATATTTTATATTATATAGATATTTACAATAAATATATAAATAATAATAAAGGACTTAAGAGTAGTGCCTGTCGTTGTTGAGTACTAAAGTTTAACTTTTTTTTCACCCCATGTGATGAGGCTGTGCCTGTTGGCCGGTTACAGAAACTCTGAAGTTGGATCTATACACCCTAAGACGCAGAGTTGACTGAAAAAATTCCATTTGGCTTTTGCGGATGTAAACCCCAAAAGGCTGAGAGCACACCTTCCTGGCCACTAGGGGGCGTCAGACATGCCTGGAGGGCAGCAGCGGCGGGCAGCCTGGGTTCCAATCCCGATTCTCCACTGGTTTGTGTGGCGTTCTCTGGCAAGGTGCTTTCTCTCCGAGACCTCAGTTTCTCCGCCAGTTAAGCAGGCATTTATTTGGAGTGGGGTTGGTGCATCTCTTGGTTCCAGCTGGCTCCAACAAGGGTAGGGAAAAGTTACTAACCACAGGCCCTTCAGGGCTCTAGGACCCTAGGACGGGAAGCACGGATTGCCCAGACACCTCCCATCTAAGTCTGGTTAGTATTTTTATTTTTTTCTCCTCTGTGCAGATGGTGGGATTGAAAACCCAGAGAACTACAGAGTGGGGGAAGGGCATGATGTAAACCAGAAGAAAACCTCGCCCCATCCCTGCCCCAAGGGCCCCTGCTGAATTGAGTCTCCCAGATCCTATTGTTACATCTGTATTGGCAACTCTCTCCTTCCAGCTTCCAGCCTCTTCCTCTTCGAGACCTGCTAGCCTTCCCCAGGCCCCAATGTTGTGTGCCTAATTCCGAACTGGGGATTTCTCGGAACCGGGAACATTTCATTATCTTATTCATTGGACATGTTTCTATTGGAGGTCTCAGGTGTGCCTAAACCAGGAAGATGGACAGGTGATTCAAAAGGACACAAAATATGCTCTTAGAAAGCTGATCTGCTAGGATGGGGACCCGACAGGTCAATATATAAATACGCTAGTAGTGATCAGACACTGTAGTGATCAAAACTATGAAGGAGATAAAACAGGGTGCGGAAACAGAATATGAAACGAGAGCTACTTTTGCCAGAAAGAAGGTCTCGCTTTGGAGGTGGTATCTGAGCTGAGACATAGATGGTAAGTGGAAGGAGTTAACAAGGGCAAAGGCCACCAAGGAAATGGGCCCAGTGAGTTGACAGTTCCAAGTTCCCTAGCCTTCACAAAAACACAAGAAAGGCCTCGGAAATCCCGAGACTTTTGGGAGGAGGGGGTCTTCAATTTTATCCCAGAGTGGAGGAGGGGAGGGGCGCGCTCTAGTGGTGAGAAGAGTTAAATTTCACCATCGCTGACCTAGAATGCCACATGCTTGTGACTTGGCTCAGCTAATTGTGAGCTTCACTCATTCCTGTCTCTCCCACACTTACTCATCCAACAGACATTACTGAGCACCGCAAATGTGCCAAGCGATATTGTAGATGCTGTGGTGAGAGTTGTGAAACCGACAGGAAAAGGTCCCCCTGCTTTCCTAGAGCTCACATCCTAGGGGACAGTTCCTATCCCAGTCCTCGACCTCACCTCTGCCCGCCACTATTCTGCAGCTAAATTGGGCTGCTAACGCTCCAACATCCAGATACTGCTGCTACGGAATCTTTGCCTTTGCCGTGCCGGGGACATGGGAAGCACGTCCCTGGCTCTTTGCATTGCTGGTTCAGGCCTCGGCTCAAATGTGACCAAGTCAGAAAGGAGTGGACTTATCTTATTTGCTTATTTATTGCCTATTCTCCCCACCAAAATGTAAGATTCCATGAAGGTTACCATTTTCCTGGAATCCCTCAGCCTTGTACTTAAATAAGGTGCTCATTAAACTTGCTGAATGGCTTTGAACATTCATTCATTCACTCAAAATATTTGCTGGGAACCGTAAGTGAACCAACTGAACAAAACAGACCAAAAATCCCTGCCCTAAAAAATATCTCTGCCCAGAGCATTCTAAAATTAAAATTGCAGCCCCGGTACTAACCACCTTTTTTACAAACCTCCTTTAGTTTTTCTATAAATTTATCACCTAAAGTATTATAATTTACTCCTCAGTGTTGTCTCCCCTACTAGAATGTAAGCTCCACGAATGCCGAGGATTTTGCCCATCTTGTTCACCATCCACCCTCAGATCCTGGAACAGTTGTTGACACCCATTAAGTGCTCATTGCGTACAGACTGAATGTACTCTAGACCTCAGCCTGCTCTTTTTACTGCTGACCTTGAGCCACCTGGTTCCAAGAGGGAAACAGGCCTCAGGAGATATCGAGAGGTGATCTCAGGCAGCCCGACCCAGAAGTCCGAGCTCGGGAGATGGAGGTGCTGCGGGAGTGGAAGTACGGGAAGCTGGAGTGCGGCGAGGGACGGTGGCCCGGGACGCTTCCGGGAAGGGGCGCTGCTGCGCCAAGGACTGTGGGCGGAGCCGTCCGAGGGGACAAGTCACCTGACTCGCGCCGGCACCGCCCACCTTGTTGTAGGCGGGGCGTCGGAGCGGGTGGGGAGCATGCAAATCAACTTGCGGCGGACGCCAATCGCGGCGCGCGCTGAGGGTCCGGCGTGGGGATCCGGGACGCTGGCTCGCGCGCAGGCTCGCTTTGCTGCCGCCCGAGCTTTTGCAAGCGGCGCGGCCGGCCTGCGAGCTGCGGCTGTAGTCACTTCCCAGACTTCCTCCTAGTTCTTTGCGGCCGGCCGGGTGAGGCCGGGCTCGCGCGGGGGGCAAGGCGACAACTGCCTCCGGCGGAGCCGGCGGCGCGGCAGAGGCTGAGAGCCGCCGCCTTCGCAAGCGCCCCGGCCGGCCCGCGACTTCGCAACGTGCTCCATGCATCCGGAGCCCGCCCCGCCCCCGAGCAGCTACAGCCCCGAGCTTCCCCTCAGCGGCGGTAGCACCACAAGTGGCAGCCGCAGGAGCCGCCGCCACAGCGGGGACGGGGAGCCCCCAGGGTCGTCGCCGCCGCCGCCGCCCGCCGTTACCTATCCGGACTGGATCGGCCAGAGTTACTCCGAGGTGATGAGCCTCAACGAGCACTCGATGCAGGCGCTGTCCTGGCGCAAGCTGTACTTGAGCCGCGCCAAGCTCAAAGCCTCCAGCCGGACCTCAGCTCTCCTCTCCGGCTTCGCCATGGTGAGCTCGGGCCGCCCTGCCCTGCCCCCTCTCCTGTCCTGGCGGCTCCCGCCCGCATCCCCTACGGGGCCCACAGGGGAGCAGGCTGGGGGGTGAGGAAAGAGCTGGGAAGAAGGCTGTCGTGGATGCTGGAGGGGGCTAGAGGTGCTGGACGTGAAGAGATGGACAACAAGTGACCCCGATGTGGGAGATGAGGTTCATACACATGTCCAGTGTTGGGGGCTCAGGTGCCTTCAGGTGGGCTAGCTTGATGCAGCAAAGAGGAAACAACAGTAGTAGAACACACTCTAGATCCTCGAAGTAGATCCATAAGAACACAGTTCCGCATATATTAAGGGGAAAAGGACATAGAAGGGCTGATCTTGGGAGCAGGTGTCAGAAGGAGGGGAGGAGGAGATGGACCCTTGAGCTGTCTCTTGTGCCCCCATACTTGGAACCACAGGTAGTCACCGTGTTGTTTTACCACCTAGTAGAGAGGATTTCCTGACACCCTTTGTTCCACCGCATTTTCGGAGAGACTCAGCCTAGGGGTTTGACAACCACTCCCCACCCTGTTTCTTCTCCAAAAACTTGCCACTGAGTCACTGGGTGTGGGGGAGGAGGGTGGGACATGTTCCTGTTGAATGGCCTCTTTCTTGATTTAGGGGGAAGACATAGTTTCCCCTCCCCTTGCAGGGCGGTGTTGCAGTGAGAAGAGCCTGGAGGGCTGGAAGGCTGCTGGTTGGGCCAAGAAGTTGCCCTGGGGATGCCTTCAAGCCTGGAATCTTGGGAGTCTCCCAGGAAAGGGCACTGCATAATAGTTCAGGATTATCATTTAGGTGACATCAGCCTGCTTGAATGGGGTCTGGTCACTCCCTCACACACACTTCCCAGACACACACACACAAGCACACACGGTTCTAGCCCAGAGGCCCTGTCTTCCTAGTGAGTGAACTTGGCCCTTGGGCTTGAGGGAGGGAGTGGCCGCATTCCCCCTGTTTTCTTGGGAAGAGAGTCTGTCTGATTCTCTCCGTGTGTTGTACAAACAAGTGGGTGGATGAAGTGGACTGAACTTTTTAGAAGCCCTGAGCAGGCCCAAAGCACACTGGAAAAAGAGCTCTTCTAGCTCTGCCACTTGCTTCTGTGTGATGTGGGACAAATCCATCTTTGGACCTTGAATTGAGTCAATAGAGGAGGCTGCTCAGAAGTTCCTCTGACTTTGAGAATAAATTTGAGGGAGCCATTTAGGGGCGTTGAGAGAATGTATGTGTGTCAGGGAGAGACACATTAGCTTTTAGTTTAGGTTGGATATGATGGAATTCTGTACCCCAGTCTCAAATCCTGGGAGACCAGTCTCTGCCTTTGCCTGAAGAATCTCCAAGAATAGCTGGCATTTACTAATCAGTCACCATGTACTAGGTATTGTGTAGGTTCCCTAAACCTTACACCAACTCCTCAACCACCCTTTGAAGTAACTTTGTCATGGGACTTTCCCAAGGCCACACAGCTAGTCTGCTGGAATCCAGAAGTTTCCTGGGTTCTTGCACTGTTTGTGTGGTGTATGGAGCTGTGATCAGTGCCTGGTAGGGCACATGTTAGGACCTTAGGACCAGGACTTCTAGGGAATGAGAACTAGGAAAGGTTTTTTTTTTGAAATATAGTTGATACACAATATTATAGCAAAATTTCTTTTAAGCAAGATGAAATGTTAGTTTGGGGGAAGGGAGTGACACCAGAGATTGTAAGCTCTTCATAGCAGTGTTCTGGGTTTAAGATGGTGGGGTACCTGTTCCCCTTTCTCTTGGGGTCATAAATTCATTGCTTCCCAGGTCTTATCCCATTCCATGAGAAGTGAGAAGAAGCCAGGCCTTCTAATCAAATGTTACCTCCCTCTTCCTCCTGCTAAAAACAGTGTAGGGAAGTCAGGAGGCAGTGGCAGCTGGTGGCAGTGGGTGGGCCTTGGCTCACCCAGACATCTCTTGAGGACTTTTATTCCCCTCAATTGGGGTGGAGAAGGCTTCCTGCCTCTGCTGATGGGATCCCCAAAATTCTTCTGACAGAGAAGGGCTGAACTTCACAACAGCTTTCATTCCAGGGAGGCAGTTGCAAGAGGGTAAGAACTGCATTTGGCCCAAGTCTTAAAATCTATGGGAGAGATGGGGTTAAGGTGGGGAGGGGGCTCAGCAAGGTAGATCTGCCCACACCTCACACTCACCAGGGACACCCAGCCTTACAAGTGTGCCTCCAAGGGAAAGGGGTGTCCAGTGCCATGGAAACAGAGTGAGCAAGTTTTGCTGGACTACTCTCCCTTGGCCTGTGAGTCAGCACAACCAACTTCCTGCCCCGGAGGGCTTCCTTCCTAGAACCTGGAAAACCAGAGGGGCGTATGTGACCTTTGATCTTAGGGGGTGGAGAGTTGGTGAGAATGCCAGGTTCACCTGACTAGGTGAGATTGAGAAAGGGTCTCCCAAGAGCCTGGAGGGGATTGAGAGACTCCCCCTCGCAGGTGTAAGGCTCTGGCCACATACCCTAATATGCTGGGGAGATATGCCATGGACCACAGACGGGTGTCTTTACTCTTTGTTACCAGTTTTCTCATGTACAAATGGAGCATATATCCTGCTCTCCAGTGGACTTACATGAGGATGCATTATGAAACCTGATTTGGCCCATGAAATGTTCAGGAATTTTCCAGATCTGATTATGTACACCTCAGCTCTACACTCTAGTCTGCAGACAAGAATCCCTGACAGCATTTCTAGAAATAACAGGTCTTGTCTGGGCTTAACATCCAAACTCCAAAACCAGGGGCCCTGGAAGTAGCACATTATCAGCATCCTACAGGTACTCCAAAGGTACCCTTGTGGGCTGTGATTTAGGCCATCCTTGCCTCAGTTTTCCTCTTGTGAGAGACAGCCAGCCTTAGCCTGACCCTGTGCCCTGCAGGACTGTGGTGAGCACACGTGGCAGTCTTCATCTGCGGGAGGCCAGGCTGTAACGTTAGCCTAAGCATAAGATAATTGGGAAGGTCAGTCTGCTGCCGTAAACAAAATGCTTTCCACGATCCAGGATCAATTATTTTTGGATTATCTGCCTCCTCAAATTCTCTGCCTGCCAGCACCCTTTTGTTCCTAAGTTCCAGGGCAAGTTTAGAAGTTGTTTAGAATTTCTATGAAAATGAGTTGGAAGGAAGAGCTGAAATCATAAGACATTACTAGGCTGCTGTGATGTGTTCAGAGCTCGGGGCATGGAGATGAATAAGCAATTACCATTACTACTCATAGTGCTAATTACTAATGGTCCTTAGCTATTGTTGACTGGGCTCTTGCAATTGGCTAGACATGTTAAGGGTTCCACTTGTACCATCTCTTGAGATCTCCATGCAACCTAGTGAGGGTAAGTGCTTGTCCCAGATGAATTACTTGTCCAAGGTTACTTGCCTGTAAGCTACAGAGCCTTGTGACTATGGTATAGCCCCATCGCTATGGGAGAGAGAGGATCAGAGAGAATGAGTGGCCTAGGACAGAGCTGGGAGGCTCTAGTGTGGTGGGGCAAAGTAAGAACAGGAACTTGGAGCCAGAAAACTTGGATTCAAATCCCAGCCTTGCCACTAGAATTGTGAGATCTGGGGAAGTCAATATCTCTGGGCCTCAGTTCCTCATCTGTAAAAAGGGGGTCACAGTAGTACCTCACAGGGTTGGCGTGAGGATTCATTGATTAGTATTTGCAAAGCATGTAGAATATACCTGGCCCAGCATCCAGGAATCTCACTCATCCTTGTTCCCTGGTATTGGGATTTTTTTATAAGGGTTAGCTGATTTAGAAGAATGTGATTTCACCTAAGCCTGGAGGATGGTAATTACGGCTTGGAGAAGAGTCCCTCTGGTCAGAAGTGTCAGGAACAAAATTACAAAGATGAGAAATAATAGAGTCTTGGAGAAAGGCAGAGGGGCTGGTGTTGCTGGAGTTGAGGGTGTGTAAGGAGTAGTGTAATGAATCTAGCTGGTGAGATGGGGCCGCACCTCAACTGGCTGTTTAGATGTGAATTCTTACACATGCAACGGGGAAGGATTTGGAGCAGAGGAGTGACATGAATTCTAAAATAATGTTTCTAATATTATTATTAAGTGAACACTACGTGTGAGCCTGGACCCTTTTCTTTAATTCTTACTTAATTCTCAGAATAGTTCTTAAAAATATGTACTATAGAGAGAAAACTAAGGCTCCGAGAGGTTAAGCTCACCCACCTAGTAGAATTCAAGCCCTGATCTGTCTGACTTGGAGTTTTTCTACTCAACCACCCTCTCACTGCATCCTCTGTAACTAGTTAGTAACTGGGCTTTTGAATTCTTCCAAGTGTGTGGTCTGTACTCTGGGCTGTGTAGACATGGAATCTTGCTGAATGATCAAGGGGAGGGCATTCCCTTCCCAGCTGAGAAAGCCTTTTGTAAAATTTTACAAGTGCCTATGGCACTTTTCTGGAATTTTTTGCCAGGATCTGTATTGAGCTCTGCTCTTTGCCCAGTCCAGGGCTGGTGAAAAGGAGAACTCTGAAGCTTCCCAAGGTGGCACCATGGCAATCAGAGTTGGTGGGGAGAAGTTCCCTTGGAGAAATAAAACAGAAAATTTAAACAAAAGCCAGCAGGTTCTCTCTGATGGGACTTCTGGGAGGCCTTTATTATGCTCCCCAGAAAGGATGTCACAAACTGATAGGACCACAGACTCTTTTCTTCAACAAAGAATCTAGAGAGACTATGATTTGACAGCCCTCTTTAGTTAGCCCTTTCAGTTAGAGCATTGGTCTAACCTGGGAATCAACCAGCTTTTTCTGTCAGGGGCTAGATAGTGAATATTTTCTACTTTGTAGGCCACATAGTCTCTGTGGTAACTACTTAGTTCTGCCATCCTAGCTCAAAAGCAGCTAGACAATAGATAAATGAATGGGCATAGCTATGCACCAATAAAACTTTATTTACAGAAACTACAGCCCATAGACCACAATTTGCCAATCTCTGGTCCAA